TGAGGCCGGGCCTTACAAGGCAGAAGAATGCGTGCGGGGCGGTACGGGGGCGGGGCCGCCGCGCCCCAGCCTTATTTGGCCTGGATGTGTGGGCAGCAGTGGGAGCGCTCCTGGGCGAGCCTCCCTTATTAGCTGCCCACTCGAGAGCGTGAGGCGTGCAGAGCCCCTGAAGGCGGGGCGGCTCAGTCCGCAGACTCCCCCTGCCTGTGCCCGAGGCCGGGTTGGCCGCTATCCGGTGGGAGGCAGGTGTCCGCCAGCCCAAGTAAGGTTTCCGGGCCAGGGGAGAGGCGTGTCACAGGCGCGCCGGCACTCGGTTATAGTAACTTGTCCTGGATCGAAGCCACTTGCCCAGGGCTGGGCAGTGGGGTCCCTGGACACTCTCGCCTGCCGCCCAGGAATCGCTGGTGTTTGTGGGTGGCAATGCCCGCTGGCCGCGGCGGGGAGGACTGAGTGGGAGGCCAGGTGACTTCCCGGGAAGTGACATCCAAGCAGGCGGCTGGGCGGGAGCCCTGAGTGGAGCTTGGGTGAAGGAGCCACGGAGGAGCGGGCACAGGAGGCAAAGGCTGGGAAGCTGCAGGAACCCGGCTGGTGGCCCCTGGGCTGCTGAACCGAGGGGCGAAGGGCCTGGCTGATGTTTGTGCCTGGGGCTTGGGGGACCTGAAGTCGGAGGCGCAGCTGGAGTGTGGAAGGGGGCGGGGCTCCGGGGACATTCGGTGGTACAGCCAATGGGGTTTGTGGGTGGATGGGAACGGGCGACGTGGAGGAGCAAGGTAGGCTCCGAAAGTGTTTAGTCTGAGCATCCGGAAAGACAGATCTGTAGTGTTCTAAAACGGGAGTGCAGCGGGTATAGGCGGGTAGGTTTTGGGAGAGATTAGAAGTTTTAATTTGGACACATTTATTAAAAAAAACAACTATTTTAAAATAATTTCAAATTTGCAGTAAAGTTAGAATTGTACCTTCATCTAGATTCTTCAGTGTAGCATTTGGCTTTATTGTATTTTCTTCACTCCATATACAGTATGTGTATATTTATCTCCATCCCAACTGTTTAAGAGGGATGGTGGTGCACACCTGTAATCCCAGCATTTGGGAGGCTGAGGCAGGAAAATCACCGTGAGTTTGAGGCCAGCCTGAGCTACATAATGAGTTCAAGGTTGGTCTGAACTATATGACAAGAGCCTGTCTCAGGAAAAAAAAAAAAAAAGGCAAACTGTACATCATGCTCTTTTACCGCTAAATATTTCAGTATATCCTAAAAAAAGATTCTCTTACAAACGTGAAAACCAGGATATTTTAAACTTGAATTACTTAATTTACAAATCCTTATTCTAGTTGTGCCAACTATCCCAATATGTCCTTTATGGAAAAAGATCATGTGTTATGTCTCTTTAGTCTGGGATTTGTTGTGTGATAAGACATACATAATATAAAATTTGTCACTTTAGCAGCCCCCCCCCATTTTATTTTTGCGGTACTGGGAATTGAACTCAGAGGCGTCGTACTGAGCTACATCCCAAGCCCTTTTATTTATTTTGGGTGTTTTGAGACAATGTCTTGCTGTGCAGTTCAGGCTAGCCTTCAATTCACGATGTAGCCCAGGCCTTGAATTTGAGGTGATCCCCCTGCCTCAGCCTCCTGAATGCTGGGATTACAGGCATGTGCCACCACGGCCAGCTAAGCCTCCCCCCTTTTTTGGGCAGTACTGAGGATTGAACTCAGGACCTTGTGCCTGCCCCTAAACCCTTTTTATTTTTTATTGTTTTGGTATTGGGGATTGAACTTGGCCCTTACTCTTCCGAGGCAGATGGCGACACCACTGAGCCAAACCCCTGACCCAAACCTTTTTATTTTAAGATAGGGTCTGGCTAAATTGCTAAGTTTCCTAGGCTGAGGTTGAACTTAAGTCTTCCTGCTTCAGCCTCCCGGAGTGTTGGGGTACCAACATGGTACATGGGTACCACCCACCATGCCCAGCTTTTCCCCCATTTTATTATTATTTTATTTTATTTTGAGACAGGGTCTAGTTGAGGCTTGCTTTGAACTTGAGGTTATCCTCCTGCCTCAGCCTCCCAAGTGCTGGGATTATAGGTATGCATGCACTTCCATGCCTGGCACTTTAGGCCATTTTATTTTATTTTTTTAATTTTTATTTATTTTTTAGTTTTGGTGCCGGGATCGAACTCAGGTCCTTGCGCTTGCGAGGCAGGCCACCGAACCGCTGAGCTAAATCCCTGGCCCTTTAGGTCATTTTAAAAAAGCAAGGTTTTTGTTGTTGAGTTATAGAATTCTTTCTGTATTTTGTATATTAGTTCCTTATCAAATACATGATTTGCAAATATCTTTCCCATTTCATGAGTGTCTTTTTGTTGTTGTTGTTACTAGGGATTGAACTCAGGTCCTTGGGCTTGTGAGGCACGTGGTGGTACCGCTGAGCTAAATCCCCAGCCCATGAGTGTCTTTTTATAAAGAAAGATTTGATGTAATTTACATACCACAGTATTCATCTCTGAAGTGTACAGTTCTGTGGTCTTAGTATATCGACAAGTTAAACAGTCGTGAGTAGAATTCCAGAACACTTCTTGACGCCCCCAAGGAAGCCCTGTACACATCAGCAGTTGCTCCCCACTCTCCCCTCGTCTCAGCCCCTGCGACTGCGGAACGCCTTTCATTCCCGCTTTTGGCCATTTACGTCCACGGTGAGCATCTGCACACAAGTCTGTATGTGGGTGTCATGTTTTCACTTCCTCAGGAGTACACTTATTCCTGTGCAATTGCTGGCTGTCTTAGTTTTTGTTACTATACTAAATGAGATAATCGATTTAAGAGATTTATTTTGGCTTACAGTGGTAGAGATTGCTGGTGTGGTGGGTACGCCTGTAATCCTAGCTACCTGAGGGCTGAGTCAGGAGGATCACACGTTCAGGGTAGCCTGGGCAATTTAGATCCTATCTCAAAATATAGTAATAAATAAGAGGCCTGAGGATATAGCTGAGCACTAGAGCACTTGCCAAACACGTGAGGTCCTGTGTTAAATCCTCAGCATGGAGGGCGAAAAGGAGGCTCCAGGCCACAATCAGTTGGCTCCCTTTCTTTGGGTTTACCATAAGGCATGTCAGCACTGCAGGAGCAGAGCAACTCACTCGGCGATCCTGATCCTGGGTCCCTCAACCCTTCCCGGGCACCTGCAGCAACCTGGGACCTCCTGTTCGGCACCACCTCTTAGACCTGGGACACCTGCAGTGATGCCCCAGGGACCAAGTGTTGACCTCTGGGCCTTTGGGGATTCTCGACATCCAGACCACAGCACGGGGCCGTTTGGCACCTATGATTAACCTTCCAAGGAACTTCCAAACTCTTCCATAGTTCTGCCTGATTTTCAGTTCCTACTAGCAGTGTGTGAGGACTAATTTCTCTACTGTGCCATCAGTGCTTTTTGCCTGCCTTGATTTTAGCGATCTAATTATGTATGAGATAGTGTTTTTCCTTTTTGACAGTGTCTCACAGCATTGTCCAGGCTGACCTTGAACTTGGAATCCTCTTGCCTCCTTACCCCAATTCTAGGTTTCAGGTGGGATTACAGGCATGTGTCTCGCTTTGAACGTACCGAATGAATAAGGGTGCTGAAGGTCCATGGAGATTTGTATATCTTCTTTGGAGAAATATTTATTTAGATCTTTTTCACCCATTTAAAAATTCTTTTTGTTGAGTTGTAATATTATATATTTTAGATAATCCCTTATCAGATATATAATTTATAAATATTTTCTTCCATCCTATGGCTATCTTCACTTTTTTTTTTTTTTTGGAGGGAGGATCTTGCTGTGTAGCCTAGGCTGGCTTTGAACTTTGATATCTTCCTGCCTCAGCCTCCTGAGTACTGGGATTATAGACGTGGACCACCACACCTGGCATCTTTTCTTTCTTGATCTTGGAGTCACAAATGTTTCCAACTGTGGAGAAGTTTTGTTTTATTTTTTCTTTGTTTTTGATGACATATATAAGAAACTGAGAAACTGTTGCTTAACCTGAGATTATAAAGACTTACTATATTCTTTTAAGAGATTTATAGTTTTAGGTTTTTTTGGGGGGGCAGGGTCTTGCTGTGTAGTTAAGGCTGGTTTTAAACTCACAGTGATCCTCCTGTCTCAGCCTTCTCAGTGCTGGGACTACAGGTATATACCACCATGCTCGGCTATAGTTTTAATTTTTAAAGTTAGGTTTAATCCACTTTGAGTTAATTTTGTGTATATGTGAGGTAATTCCGATTTTCATTTGCATTTGGCTATCCAGCTGTCCAGACCAT